TAAAAAAATTGGGCGAGAGGAACAGGCAAGGTCTTATACAATCCTATATACAATCCCGGAAGTCTTACGTGATACCAATCAGGTTAAATATAGACCGGGGAATAGATAGTTATCGAGGCTAGTGATGCCACACATGCAGATGCGGTAAAGCTTCAGGTTTCTAGAATGGTCACGGTCCTGACGCGATGGATGTTGCCGTGCTTTTTATTCCGATAGGGAATATTACATGAGTGGGATAACTGTAATGATAAAAGGAATTATATAATAAAGCCCATGCAAATAAGCATGCAAGTGACACGGCAGAACGAATATATGCCTCCCTAGCTCTAGCTTATTTCACAATTTTAACGAGATCCCAAAGTAATATATACAGGAATGGGACCGGTATCAAGGCTAGAATTGTGAGGTACTTAATGAAACGACTAGCAAGCCGTATAAGCGCTAGGTACTTTGGCTGACAGTACATTGATCCCATCGAAAATGGAACAGTCTCCTAGCCTCATCAAGCAAAGGAATTTTTATATTCAAAGAGCGGCTGGAAACCTAAGCTATTTATAAAGTACTACCTAGGTATCACTTTCTATTTGATGCAAAGCTGATGGTAGTCTGTCAGCCTCGAAGCAGATAAAATGTAACCGAAAGACTGAAAGGAAGGACTTGGCGTTTTATAGCCTAAGTGTATATGAAAATCTGTCTACACAACATGTATCTATGCATTGTCGAGCTTACCCTTGATTATTAACCATCAAAGCTAAGGATAATGCATGACACCACCACCCGACAACTCGGATTGTTCGGATAGTGCACGTGGAAGATATTTACCTGGTTCCATACTATACCCTCCACCCTGCCTCCGCTGCCAAACTGCCGGATTACCAAAAAGAGTGCGGTAGTACAGCAATGTTGATTTTGTTTATGACGCTAAGTACAGAATAGTTGGCCCACGGAGTCGGCGGCAATGTAATATGTAGGTACATACCTAGTAGGTACTAGGAATTAGGTAGGTACGTGTTGGTCTGTGGGGTGGCTAAGGTGTTGGAGGAACGGAAAACCTGGTAGTAGATGGGACTGGCTTCATTATACAGGGCCATCCATGCTAGGTACGACTCCTCCACACATCTCACACATCTGGAGGCCCTTTGGTATACACTACTTACCTACCAAGGTAGGTAGGTGAGTGTAAATCGTTCGTTCAACTTCTCGCTTTGTTGTTTCTTTCGCAATGCCGTTATCAAATACGAGTAAACGGTCTGTGCTTTCCCCCCTTCTACGTATGTTAACATCTTGGCTCCCGTTAATCTTTTACCTTTTCAGTGACTTGAAGCTTCTTAGGAGGAGACCACGACGACGTCCACTTGTGATTAGTAGATTGATGTTCGTTCTCAAGAAATTGGACCTTTTTCTCTTCTTTCTTCCCTCGTACACAGATACCTAGACGCTCCGCTACTACTAAGCAACAGCTGAGTTCGGTTTGGTAGGTTGCGAGGCCCGAATACTGAGGTCCGTGACAGCTCTATCAGACATACCTAGGTAGGTACTTTAGTATCTAATCGCGGCAGGGAACATTTTTCTTCCTAACCGCTTCATTACCCTAACCCTCCTACTTGAGGTTTCTTTCAGTAGGTACTTACCTACATGGGTAGGGGACCCGATAAATACCTACCTAGCATTCTCCATGCAAGGAGACGCCGAGGCAATTATTTGCGACTACGTGTATAAAGTTAATACATATGTGGAAGCAGGCAGACGTGTCCCAGCTATTTTCTTCCAATACCGTGGAGGACTGTATTAAGAAGAAAATAGGCGACAGCATAAGCCAGAATGCGATAGGAGGGTCTTTCATATCAATATACACGCATGTAGACCTGTCCCACTACCAACTCTATTTGGCATTACTATTTATCTAAGTCGCATAGGGCGGCTTTAATCGGTGTAAAATATCTTACTTTACTTTCCCGTCTGCAATACAGTTAACTGCTAAATACCAGTGTAGATAACTGGAATATATTCATACCTACTTACCTACTTAGGTACTAATTCTCTATAAATAGCGTATTATTTTCTGTGCCTTTCTTGGGTGGTATTCATAGGGTCTAGTGTATATAACTCCTCCGACTCGATTACTTAACGAACCGGTTAGTCTGAGGCTTGGGTTGTAGGTCCATGTGGCCCACTCATCCATCCCTTCATCCATCTTCCTATCCATCCATCAAATACCTAGGTAGGTAGGTGGTCGTAGAGGGCACCACAATTTACTACCTAGGTATGTAGTGAGGTATACGACTACCTAGCATACCTCTTCAACATATTCCTCCCCACGATGATTAGATAATATTAGGAAAGGGATCTGTTCTTAAACTCTCCTGTGTGCCTACCTATATTTCTAGATCTAAATACCAGGACACGTCTACCTACCTACATAATCTTCAGTCGTGGAAGTAGTCTAGATTTTTTCCCCTCCTGGGTCGTGTTAACTGCCGGTCCTATGCCGACGGATAGGCAGGAATGATGCACATTAAAAAAAGTACCGCAGGATTCAACCCTAAGCTTGTTTCGCCGCCGATTATGATCCCACAGTTGACCTTGATGATGCTCGTGAGTGCGGCCCAGACCGTACCCTCTTTCATGTGGCGCTCCTCGACCAGCAAAAAGTATCCTTGCGTTTCGAATTTGACTAAGAGCCGCTCCCCCACCCATGCATGGCTCGGATTGGGTCGTCTGCGTGATTCTTACGAAGTTACCATGTCAATGATGCCTGATGTCACAAAAAGCGTACCTGCGGCGATGTCTGATATCTACACTAGGTAGGTATCCGTACCTACACTACAAAATCGGTCATCCTGGTTCAGAAAGGCCCCCAAACGGCTTACCAGGGTACGCACTGATTGTAAAATTATACAACCCCATCTTCTTGGATAACTATCCCTAAGATAGGAAATGCTCTAATGGCCCTGTAAGGCTAAGAATAAAATAAAAAGGTCCTAACGGCACATTGCTAGCCCATTAGGTTGGGTCACCGCTCATCGTAGAAGTGGGAGATTATACATAAGAAGCGGCAAGAGAATGTGCATTTCGCCCACGCCTGTTGCTCGGCCATTAACTTTCATATTGATCATATAGACACTACTCGGCGCTTAATAATTGATACTACCTGGCTAACATGTCTATCAAGCTACCTTTCGATAAACATGAGCTCGAAGACTCGTCAAAAAGAGTTCATCGAGCCAAGGTTCTCACAGTTATCGTTACCGGCGCTACAATATTAATATGTCTTGGGTTGATCCACCACGATGTTACGAGAGGGTGGATAGTCGATATCGAGTCGTTGACAGCCGGGTTCCGAGGTCCATATACTCCGGTTGAGAAGGTCACACTCGGGAGTGCTGGGTTCAGTCTGCTGGCGTCCGTGTCACTAGAGGGTATTCTATTTTACGCCATGCGAGAGGGCGAGAGTAAAGTATGGTTACGATTGTTATTCTATCGCGTTGGTTTTACAATTGCAGTAGCTAACCATACTGTTATAGACAAAGAGGTGGATCAGGGCCGCCATTTTCTTCATCCTCGCCGTTAATATCGCTCTAGCCCTGTCTTCATTTGTCTTCACATTGTTCGACAACACCGAGTTCATCGATCTGGAATTTATGGCTTCTGCCGGATTAGATGTTTGGGATAACCAGTATCGAACCAATGACAGTCCCTCGACCTGGTCATGCGAGTTGAGAGCATACGAAAACTTACGCAACAACGCCTTTGCTGTGGGAAGAACGTGCAAATCCAGGCTAGCCTCTCGTTGGTTGAGCCTTTTGATCTTTATCTTCTCGGTCATCCTAGTGACACTGGCGTGGATGGACTTCAGGGACGAGGATGTGTGGCTACTGCCTTCAGCGCCTTTAGATGAAGAAGCTAAGGTCGAGTCCCAAGGCGAGAAAGATATTATTTTATTTGTCGAGGAATAATGGTGCTAAAGAAACTTTAGACTGCATAAGACAAGAACATGTGTTGTGTACATTTATAAGGGTCTATGGTTTGATACCCACACGGCGTGCTACCTATGCGTATTATTTTTATTACAGTCAAATATATATATATAAGTTTATCTGTTTCTTTGTGTTCTTTTACACGAAGCAAATTATTTCAACACCTGAGTAGCTATAAAGCTCAGCAACATTGGGGAATGTGTTAAGCGGTATCAACTGTGCCTGTACTTCCTCTCTCTGTCTACACAACCAGTGCCTACTTAGTTGCTCCCGACTTGAAAACAAAGTACTACCTAATGTTACCCTCTCTACGGGCGCTGCAAAGCACTAATAGGTACAATCAATTGTGTTAATAACCTTAGGTAACTATCAAGGTTGTTTACAAGTATTGATCTTCTATAATGACGGGATCCGACTTTTACAACGTCATTTAAGCTGCAAATGTTCTGGTTACATGTTTTTAAAGTGTTGTGAATGGAGAGTTGATAGCGTATTAACTACCTACCTAGGTACCTATGTACGTACGGTATAATAAGAACTTTATATAATGTCTACGAGTAAAAATCGATTTGTTCAGTATTTAATGGTTTGTTTTATATAACTACCTACCTATATAAATTACCTATATATTGTATATATTAATAAACCTCATTACATGATTTTATCTCGTTTGTATAAAGCGGGTTAATAATAGTAACTTTTCCTGAAATATTCAGCCTGCTAAGTACTTATTAAAGTAGGTACTACTTAAATAGTAATGCACTGAAAAACATGTGGTATATACAACTGATGTATGTGTCTGGTAGGAGAAATTATGTTACCAATATTTAATCTATAACGTAAGCATAACAGGAAAAAGGAAGCGTCCTACCTACCTCTAGTAGGTGCTGGTTGGTAAAGCATACATACCAAGCCGTGGTTTAACCGACGGAGAACAGCGATTGCTTGGAAAAAGACTCTAGCGTTTTTTAATGGGGGGTGGGCAATTGGTATATAGAGCTAAACAACCAAGATGTCCTTCACGGTCGAGTGGCCCAATGGCAAGGCGTCTGACTACGAAGGTTACTTTCGGTAGCTCAGGAAATCAGAAGATTGTGGGTTCGAATCCCATCTTGATCACCAGTTGCCTGGTGATATCGTCTAGTGGTTAGGACAACACGTTGTGGATGTGCAACCCACAAATAATACCGTGTAAACGCCGGTTCGATTCCGGCTATCGCCATTCTTTTTTCGCTTTTATTTCGACTACCGACCACTTTATCACACCACCTACCTATATATACTGTATTATATATATATCAATACAGTATGTTTATTTATACAACATACCTCTTTAATGTTTTTTTTTTTTTTGGTTTTTAGTTTAAAAGTTTTTTTTATAGCTAGATTAAGCAAACTACCCACCGCATTACTACTACTCCTTTTTAAATAACTAAAGCATCGTCACGCGCGGTACTTCCATCTTGAGACCATCACCAGCATCTTTAACAAGGAACTTGATTGTCTTGTTGTATCTAGTCTCCTTTAAGCCTGAAACCGAAGGGGTTCTCTCAGTCGGTCAGCCAGCCAGGATGTCCGAAGTCCGACTCAACGGCCTCCCCTTCCCCGCCCGCCGTAATTAGACACATTAGGTAGTTGATCAGTCGTGAAAAGAAGCTCCGTGACGTCGCGTTCTCTCTCCCCCACCCGCCTCTCTCGGCTATGCTTCAAGTATTCGGTAGATCATCATGCATTGCGGGAGGCAAGAGGCGAGCAAGAAAAGAGGGAATTGTGCCGAACTCCGCATGTGTTTTAGATGCAAGCGACCTGAAAGGTAGGCAGGACGCCTGCGTATTAAAAACGAGGAGGAAAAGAAAGGGATTTCGTTTCCCACACCATATATATACATGTTTGTTTTGTTTGTTTGATATTGAAGAGAGAAAAAAAGTCGGCGAGATGCAAACACCACTACTAGTATTACTTAAGGGCTAACTAACCAAACAGGGCTTACTGAATAGGAATGGAATGTGATACCCCGCCTAGGGGATGTGATGTTACTTAGTTACCCGCTGCTGAATCTTTTTCTCTGTGGCACTTGTCATGACTCGGTCACACGCCACTGAGAAATTCCTACTTTATACCGTACGTAGTATATATGAGGGGGTTGAACGTCTGTCGTGAGCAGGTAAAAAAAATATTTTTCGAATTGTTCCTTTAGCTTGTTTCTAAGCGCCGGCCGTCGCGAATAAAGGTCTGCCTCACGCAGGCTTAGCCTAGATCGATCAAATATCTCAATGATTTCTTCTTACCACTCACTCACTGGTGGTAAAACTAAATTCCTCATGTCGATGAGCTACCTAGCTAGATGTCTTTCATGGCTTATCATCGTACGATTATGCGTGAATAAAATGAAGACGCGAGCTGGTGGCCGGTACGTCGTTGGGTTCTCGATGCGGTTTGGTGGTGGGTGGTGTATGTATAATTTCTACCTAGTGTATTTTGATCAATCGTCAATCGCAAGTGACATACCTAGCCGCTCAAATGCCGGCAGGAGAATTGAGTTGGGCTACCTATAACCGCGTATCGTCTAGCCGTGACGAGATGGAGGTGTGGGGGTGGTACCGTGATGTCGCACTGGTCTGTCGTTGATTTTTCTTGCTTGTGAACCGGCTTTTTTCTCACCGTAGGCTACCTACATCTAGTAAGGAGATCGGATTGGATGCCCATGTCATCATTATTGCTGCGAGTGGCCGCAGGACTAGGTAGGTAGGTAGTTGTTCCTCTCGGGCAACATCTCGCGCGTGGCCGGCAATGGGTTGTGCGAGGACGCACGTTCACCAAGGTCTCGGGACCGTGCCGAAATATTAGGTATCCCAGCCTTCCATGAAGGGGGAATCTAGGTAGCTGGTTGATATGGGCTAGGTAAGCCCACGCGGCTTGGGGACAAGTCTGGGGAAGACAAGGCCAAAAGGAAGATTACATAGGTATACATACATACTACCGACACTCACCTCACCGACGGACAGTTAGGTAGGTAGACGCCATCCCGGCTTGCCAGCATGAGTGATCGCTTCAATCATAGGTAGTCAGCCTAAGGGATCGACAATGCAAGTTAAAATTTGCTGGCCCTTCACTGGTTGCGAAGATGCTGCATGACTTTTGCTGACTCCGCCCGCCTCCACACACAGTGTCGTGCTCGTCCTGGAATTGGCTCCCGAGGCCTCGACTTGGTTAACTCAGTGGGGCAGTGGGATAGCATGCGGCGGTGGGGTTTTGCGTCTGAGTGGTAGGTAGGTGTCCGAAGCCTGGTACATAGGTAGTTTCTGCCATGCTGTCGAGTTGACGATATGATCGTCAAGGCAAGGCATCGAGGGGATGGATGGACTCCCCCGCGTTTTTCTTTCTTATACTGACAACCATTGCGATCATGGCCTTGGTTGGGTGAGGAGGGCTTTTCGTCTCGAATATTCCGAAACCTGTAGTGAACATGCCATTGTCGTTCGTCGTCTTCTTCTTTTCTTGGCTCTCTGCCGTGTTAGTTGTAAGTATGTGTAAGCTATCGTATGTGGCTGCGGGAGGGAGGAAGGGAGTCTCGCTGCTCTCTTCTTATTTTGTAGGTTGTATTGATATGAGAAGAGAGAGAGAGTCTAGTGACAGGTCCAACTAAGAGATTCTGTAATGACTGACTACTGTCCATCCTACTGCTGTGTAAGGGCTTGAGGGGAGATACCTAGCTAGCTAAGGTTAGGATAGTCCAAGGGTCCAAGGTGCGGACAGGCTTTAAAAAGTAGCCAGGAAGTAGGTAGAGGCTACACTGTAGTGTGCTCACTCATGCTTGGTGATGCTACCGTGCTGCCTCAGCAGGGTGTGATGATGGCGATAACAACGGAACGCCTACATGTACTACCTACTACCTGGGTACAGTACATAGGTACATCTTCATGGCATGGCACACTACCTACATATGTACTTACCTAGGTAGGCCATGTGCCATGCGACATGTGTTATATGCACCGTGCCGCTCCGATCCGGAATTTATCTTGTTGGATTTGTAGAACGGAGGAGACACTTGGGAGATCTCGTTACGTGAACTATCTCCATCATGGTGGAGATGGTGTTCGAGACGATGACACTGTATATAGAAGCTAAGGAGATAAACCCTGATTAGGACCCATATGTCAGATCGTGTTGCCTATTTTTTCTTTTCTCATTATTGTTGGAAAAAGAAAGAGATCCGAGAACTAAGCAAGGAAAATCTAGGAAAATCTCTTACCGGAGGCTTGACGGAAGCGATAGCGACCCTGGATTTCTCACTACCGAGTCAGGCGTGACAAGCATCATCCCCAACTCCCAACTCCCACTTCCCCTCTTCCCTTCCTACCTAGTCGTATTACGTCCGTGAGCTTGGATGATGGAGGCGTTCCATTGGATGTGATTTAGAGAGCAGCCTGCGCGCGTGTGCAGTGGTGGAACGGTGCATTTGCAACCTTTTTAAATTCGTAAGTCATATAAGTGGTGCAACTTTTGTCTCTTTTCTACCCTTCCCGTTCTATTCATTATAATACCTAGGTAGGAGTGGTTGAGGTGATGTTGCAGTGTCGGGACGCAGCGATGATGCCCTAAAGTCTAGCACTGGATTTAGGTACGCCTTTTTATTAACTTGACATCCTTGGTAAGGTTATTCTTAAAAAAAGACAGAAAAGAAAAGAAAAAGGAGGCATCTATATATAAAAAGCTGACAAGGTCATATCGTGATAAAATACTTGTTAAAGACAGAGAATGCCTTGATACTTCTTGTACCTTGGTGTTGCGTTAATATCAATGTATCAATGTATGTCTGGTATGCACTACCTACTATGTCGCTACCTGGTTTAAGCATGTAAGTTGTCGTATTGTACTTCATAGTACCTACATAGGTTATGTAGGCATCGGATGACTTGGTGTTCGGCGTTTCGTAAGTGCTGAGCCAGATCAAGATGGCCAAGTCCCTGGTCTTAAGAGATATACTACTTATGTACATTAAGTACATACTGCAAGTCAAGTGTACTATAGACCTCAATGGATCTTCACCAGCGACTTCTACAGGAGATTCCCTTTTCTGCATACATAGGTACCTACTAAAGGTATGTACATTAGGTATGTAGTTATGTAGGTAGGTAGGTTACTTAAGTACCTATGGACAATGCAAGCACGGCAAGGCAGGCTGACCCCTGTCAATTCAACTGTATCAGCTAGATACCTAATACTGTACAACCCCCGATGGGGCTAGGCCTGTTTGTGCCTGCTGCCTCCCCCTGCACCCGTTGTTTTCGCACTGTTTCTACTTTCGACTTGTTCCTCTTTCCCTTCCCTCGCCGGGCCTTACCACTGAACTCAGGTACTTACCTCACTCTGAGTCTTTCTCACCATCGAAGGCTTTTCTTCCCACATCCAATCCTACATTCACCCGCCTTTTCCTCTGAACACCTCTCCTCCAAGCCCTGTTCACCTAATCCACCCACCCGACATTCCTCACTAAGCCACCGACCGACAGCGACATCTTTACCACACTCGGCGGTGGCCCAAGACCGGAATCTCCAGAACCAACAAAAGGAAGAAAAAAAAGAAGAAAAAGAAAAGAAAAAAGGATTGTTTTCACGCCTCTGCATCACTCCCGCCTGGATAATTCATGAATTCCTCTCCGGAAGGCTTTTCCACCTTCCGACGTGTCCGCTAAGGCCCCCTCTCCGCCGCCGCTGCCGCCGCCGCCTTCTTCTGCGTCGTCGTCGTCGTCGTCGTCGTCGTCGTGTGCTCGGTTGACTGGCTCGGAACAAGTTTCTGGGTCGGGTCAGCATCAAGCGAGCGTATGCCTCGCGCTTCAGCAACGGCAAAGCGACAGCACGGTGCCTCGAGCCATCGCGATACCAGACACGAGAATGGCCTTGTAACCCCGGGGAAGCGCATTCCAAAGCAGAAGAGTCAGAGTCTTCCGAATGGAAACTCCATCAAGCAGCAACAGCAACATCAACAGCCCCTGCCCCAGCCGCCGCACCCGCAGCCAGTCGATGATGCTGCCGTCCCCTCTGCCCCTTCGACACCACCTCCGAACGCGAACGGCTACTCCAAGAACCCCATCGACATGTCTCCCGAGCGCAAGGCGG